GCCCGGCTGCGGGCTCTGAGGTGCCGCTCATTCCCTTGGGAAGGAGTCAGAGCAGGGATCCAGGGCCAAGGACAGAGATGCAGATCCCTGCACAAGCCTCCAAGGCAGGCAGAGCGGCTGCCTGCATTTCCCCGTTACTGAAGAGCTTTTAATGGTGATGGAACAAGCAATGGGATGTAAGAGTGTTCAATGATTGTATGAGACAAATGTTTACAATAGCATTCACCCCCCCCCCCCCCCAAAGGTTGAAGACGTGTGCGTGCTGCATATGTGTATGTATACATAGATGTAAAGAGGTAAAAATCTTAACAGCAGAGGAAGGAGTTTATACGTGGATGAGTAGAAAGTGGAAGGGGGAGTGAGTGTTGCTGCAGTGCCAAGCACTGTGCTGAACCAGACATTCCTGCAAAAATCTGTGGACTGTGCATTTAGCAGTTTAGATGAGAAAGTAGCATTGCATCACAAAGTACCTGGCCTTTCAAGTGCCGTATCCTCACAGCTGTGTAAGCCATGTTGCCATTGATACACCTGAGAAGTTAGTGCCCACTCTCTTTTCTACTGTTAATGCTGGATTCACACAGGCTTGCTCCTCATTCAAATTTACCTTTTCCCTTTTCTCCCTTCCTTTTGCCTGGACACTACCACACTAAAAAGTGGGGGTTTTCTGTTAGCTTGTTTGTTTGTTTGTTTAAGAAATATCAGACTTTGTAGCTGCAGTGATAGGATTTTGTTTCTAAGCAAAATAAATAGGCCAAAATTATTGGCCAAGGAAATTAAAAGTTGCTGGGTTTTAGAGTAACTTTCTCCATGCAAAAAGAACTTTGTGAAGAATTCCTGTGAAAAGAAATTTAAAATACTTGAAAATGGAGTAGAAAGTGAAATAAAACTCGGTGAGCCTACCCCAAGGGATACTTCTGAGGGATTCTTTTGAGGGATACTTTGTTACTGTGAGTAAGACAGGTGCAAGGCGTCTCTGATCCTTACAGAATTGTTTATGATTACCACGTGAATACAGCAATGAAAATGAGCTTTGACAGGATCTCATGAACAAAGTCTCAGATTATTTTGATATAAAGCTTCCACTAAAATAATCCCAGATATTTATGTTAACACACTTCCTTCTTTTCACTCATCCTTCAGAATAACATAGCTTGAGAGGAATTTTGCCAAAACTATTTCATAAGCTTTAAAAGAAACTTCATAATGCAAATTAAAGTTTTATCTCAGCAAAATCTTCTGTTTTCTGTTCAAAGCCATCTGACAGCCAAGATGGTTTCCTCTGACAGCTTCCTGACCTCATAATTTTGAAGAATAAATAAGAGATAAAGAAACAAATTTAATGAGTTACAAGTAAAGGGGAAACTTATCCTTAGTGCTTTACAAAGATATTTTAAGTGAGTCAACATAATTTTAATTCTAATAATCAGGACACTTTTCTCCTACTGTTGTAGAATAAACTTTACTACTAGTCTTGGAAACTCATGGACCAAAACAGAGTTACGGAAGTTGAACTCAGATACCATTTATTTATAGGCTGGATGAAAGTTTTGATTTGTTAAAAACTCATCTAACACTTCATAAGGAGGGGAATATCTTTGCATTATGTGTTGTTTGTCTTGGACACAGAAATGCTGAAAGGCCAATGCAATTGAACACTAACATATATGCTCCATGTTATGCTGCTGAATAAATGTGGTGACATCAATCAGAAAACACACAAAAGTTTAAGTATTTGCAGAATCTGATCAAAGTAATTGAATGCATAACAACTGATTACTAATACTGCGCAGAAATTTTTTTCCCTATTAATACAAAAAATGCTATGTAGAAAACTTAATTGTTGCACAATTGTTGATATTTAAAAGGTTGAAGAAAGAAAAGAGAAGTTAAGGCATCATTCAGGCATTAACGGGAGTAGCTAAAATACTGGCATTGACTTCAGCAAACCATGATCTGAGTGAGTTCAGAACAAATGTCATATTACAGATCTGCAGTATTTTACCTTCACAATATTTGTATGTATTAGTTTTAATCACATGTACAGAGTGCACCCTTACAATTATGCACACTAAAGTTTTAGGAAGTGCTTTTTCCCAATTTGTTTCTTACTATTCATAACCGCACTGCAAACTTACTGCATAAAGTTCCCCCATCATTTACCACTCAGACTAGTGCAGTAGCATTGCAGTCCATCGCATTGGCTGAAGCTGTGGTTCAGTGAAAACAAGTCAAACCAAACTCCAAATTTCTGAAAACTGTGCAATCTTGGGGTCGAGAAACACTATTAAAAAGGTAAATAAAATAGCCTGATATTTGCACACCTCAATATGGGGTTTAATTGGAAGTAATTATTTGATTCCACTTATTTCACATATAATAGGTAATTAACATGTTACATGTAATAGAGCTCATGTGCCAGCAAAGTTTCAAATACATTTAGTTATATTCGGCACGTTATTTACATACAGATTTTATGAGGTAGTTTTGCATAGTGCTTAGCTTTGAAGAGTTTTCAAGCAAAAATCACAGGAGCACAGCACAAAGCCATGTCCACATGTGAAATGCTGGACACTAGCTACTTTCCCTTTTTCATTCCTTAGTGCCCAAGTAGTGCCATGACAATGAATGTTTCTATGCTGCAACTACATGCCTAAACCTGAAAACTCTTAAGACTGATCAGAAAAAAGGCATAAATAAAGCAATCATTTCAGCACTGAAATAGTTTGGTTCATATGTGAATATACATATTTTTAATAGTAAATTACTGAACTTGGGAGTAAATAAAATTGTTTTGCTCTTGTGAAGCACTTAGCAGTGTCAGTTGGGTTCTTCCACTGTGTGATAAGTGATATAATAACAATGATTAAAAGGGGCATGATAAGCGATATACTAACAAAGATAAAAAGGGGCATGAATATCCCTAAGCTGAACAGTCATTTAGAATTACTGTAAAGCTTGCTAACATCAGTTTGCTATTAATCCTGCAGCTGTAGTTATTCCTACACTAGCTTCCAATACTTTCATGCACTGTCTAGCACTAATATTAAGTCAGAGGTCACTTGGAGCATTATTGGAATAAGATATTGCTCAGCAAGAGACAATTTCTCTACTCAGAAGGAATGGTCCTTTTTAGAGAAGTGTCATGACAGAACATGTGAATCTAGGTGCTGTTAAATTATGACTTTATCCCTGCCTACAATACTATGAAATTGAATATTTAGTGCTGACTGGCCTATATACCACAGTGTTTGTTTCAGCAGAGCTGAGACTGTATGGATACACAGCCTGTATGAGGCTGCACTCAACTTGAACATTACAGGGGTAGCAAGGAGGGTGAGACTGCCTTTAAATTTTTCATAGCCATGCTGCATTCCTGACTGCTATCAGCTGTAATGGTGGGGTAGAAACTTGGAATGAATAACATTGTAATAAAAAGACTACCAAACCCACTGATCTTTAGTAGATTTGAACAATTCGGTAAAATTCTCTCTATCTCATTAATAACTTGATAGGGTAGGAAAGATTACAGACACTGTTTCCCTACTTGCAATTACATAATGATTTGGAGATGTGGTTTAAGCCCTTTAACTAGCTTCTGCTTTGGCGACTAAACCACCTAACTCTAACACATGCCAAAACTCGGCCATTCCAAAATACTCTAATGAATACACAAAGTGATGTTGGAAAGTCTTTCAGAAAGTTTGAATCCTTGAAAATCCAAGAAGTGAAATTTGATGATAAAGGAACTTTTATAATGTAACTACAGTAAAAACAGTTTAGAAAATTAATTTACTCTTTTAATGTAATATTTCCCATATGATTCATATTATGGGTCTTATTCATGGCCATACGAAACATACTTTTGGGTCTTAAGCTTAAACTGTTCATGACTTAGTGCTGATCTGGAAAAAAATATCTTATTGATTTGGATTGTGGTCACATTGTTTCCTCTTTGTGCTACATTTGCTCTGTTGGCACACATCAAGAAATTCACTAGCAGTTCACAGAAATTTTAAAGGGAAGAAGTCTCTGACAGGAGTGAACAGATGAAGGGAAAAGAAGCAAACAAATAGTTGGTCAAAGGAAATTTACTCGAAGTCTCAGACCCAGTACAATTAAATTCTCATACACTTAAATAATGACCAGCACTTTCTGCAACAAAGAACTGATCTGTCAATTAAAAGCATGAGTTATTAAAGGATTAGATAAAGCATTAGACACAGGTGAGCAATAAGCTTACAGGAAAGTTGATTTTTTTTTCCTATTCTGCCTCTGACGCCTGCTCAGAGTATATCTGTACTGACCAGCACAGTCCCTTGTAGAAATACGTTCAAGTAAGCTCCAAAGCAGTCTTGAGATCAATACCTCTGACAGGCACTGTCCTGCAATGTGCAGATGCACCAGCTCATTTGAAGCTCACTCAGTACCCTGCAGCCTTTCCCTTGTTTATGTTCAGTCACTCTAGCAATAAAGGTTCGATATATTTCTAGACACAAAGATTCTATGAGGGTGGTCATCTGCTTATTTCATTTTATAAACATTCAACAGAAAAACTAGAGTGTACTGTGGTTCTCTGCTTCATTGGTACAGTCTGAA